AAACGTGAAATGACTGAGGCTGAAACCGTGTTTCTACTTACCTATATTTTGTACGCTTTAGATGTCACCACGTGTCGCCTCCAACACCGTTGGATTGGCGACTGTTGTGTGACTCATATAAAAGCGGGATTTCTAGGGTTTGAGACTACTTTTTTGGCTTCTCGACTCTTCCATTCTTGTCACTGCGCCGTTTCTTCGAGTCTTCTCTTCCATTCTCTGTAGAAATCAAATCTGCTTATTTGATTTCTGGTTTCCCTTCAATAGATTGTAGATCTTGTGTGATTACATAGTTTGAAGGTTGGTTCTTGTGTGAACCGTGTACTAACAGTGAGAGAGTTCCTATTTTGTGTAATAATCTGCCTTGTCTGAGTGCTAAACTTTTGTATCTTTAACTTGGGTTGATTCGAGCATGGTGGTGGTCATTCTTGAGTGATTGAAACACTTGGTTGATGACTTGTGGCCTGTGGGCTTAATAGAAGATAAGTCTATTGTTTCTTTATTTTCGTTTCTAGCTTTTACAATTTATTATTCTTATTGTTTAGTTATTTCTCGTGTATAGACTTCTGTTTACTTGAAGTTGCATTTTCAGATTCTTAGTTCTGAATTCTTGCACATTTATATTGATTGTTTTGTGAGCTAATTGTGTGAACTACTCCTAACAGTTCACAACACGCTCTCAATGGTAGAGTAGTTAGATCAAACAACCCTCTTGAAGCATGATTATGGGCAAATTGATCATGCCTCAAGTTTAGATCCCAAGAACAGATATTATCACCCATAAAAATGCATAACCAACTACACAACGAACGTTTCACCACTTAGGTTTGCTCATGTATCGGAGGATGATAAACACATCAGAAATTCAAAGAAGTAAGCACCAATTCCCATAAACTACAACAAAATGGCTAACAAAACGTGTGTCCAGGTTAGAAACAATAGAAATGGTCAGTCAATGCAAGCTATGAGCTTGCTGAAAGAAAAGTTGAGCTACTTACAGCATCTTCAATTCTTTGGAAGGTACAAAAAATGAACCATCTTTGAAAAACGATCAACAATGACAAAGATTGATTCATTATGGTGCTGCAGGATCCTAAACACAAAATATATGCTAACATCAGACCAAAACATGGATGGAATATTCAATAGCTTGTAGAGGATGGGATGGGATATTCAACAGCTTGTGGAGGCCGTAATCATGGATGGAATATTCAATAGCTTGTAGAGGATGGGATTGTATATTGAACAGCTTGTGGAGGCCGAGTTACCTTAGCCTTTGGCGGCATGCCAATTGCCAAATGGCCCAAATCCAGCATTGAGACATATACCAACCAATTTTCTTGTTGGACTGTTGGCCAGAAGTAAGAGGCCGAGACCAAGGCTAACTCCAAGACAATTTTGAGACGCAACTGCAAATTGTAAAACTAAACTAAATACCACAAAAAACCCATCCACCAGAACAAACTCAAGTAGTGACAAACCTCAAAGTGGCTCTATTTCGTTATATTCCAATTCCATTCATTTAATATAATTGGCTTGTCTTAGAAAAACAAACACTTTGAGCGACACACAAAAAATCTCCTGATACAGTATCAAAACATCCTACAAGTGTGTGGCCTAGAGCCTTGGACTCTGGGGCGGATGCAAAAATTTAAAATTAGGGGGCAAAATCAAATTTGCAAAAAAGTTGGGAGAAATTTTACAATCGAAAATTTACGTTCAAAAAAATCATACCCCATGTAATTTTGCATCGAAAATTTACATGGGATATGACTTTTTCAGATGTAAAATTTCAAAAAAATTTATGTCATATTTCATATAAATTTTTAATAAATTTTGATAAAAGTTAAACAATTATGGATTTCATGAAATATGTTATTAAAAATAATTGTTAACTTTGATTTAGATTAAAATTTAGATTTCAATCGATACCAAACATGACTTTATAAAAAAAATCTCAAAAGTTGGGGGGTCACGTGCCCCCCCCCCCGGTACCCCCCGAGTCCGCCCCTGCTTGGACTAACTATAAACCAAGGTGTTATCAAAATCACCACTACACAATGATCAAGGAATGGGCAAAGGGTATGGTTCATCATTCGCACAAATTTATGGGGCGTATTACACAATCCGAAAGGCATCACCAACCACTCAAATAAACTCTCGCGTTTTGAAAGTTATCTTCCACTCATTCCGGAATGAATAGGTTCAACTTTACAAAAAAATTTTACATCCCTCAACTAATCTAACAAATTATCCAGCCCGTGGAATAGGAAAACAATATCATACTATGAATTTTGTTAATGGCTTTGGTGTCAATGCACATCTTCTCCTCCTTTTGGGATAAGAAGGCTAGCACAACACTTTGCCATCAAACCGTCTATCGATGCACAAAATCCTCGTGCTCAGCACGACTTATATGGTAGTGCCATGGGTGGATATGGGGGGAGGCTGCACTGGGCTTCAGCCTAGTACAGTCTTGGCCCAGATACTATTTTGCTTCTTAACTTTTTAAATAAAAAAAGTTATATTTTGACCAAAATTTAAAATTAGCCAACTATCAACTTTCTCTAATATTTGTCGACTTCAAGCCTACTTTCTTAAATGAACTAAATTTTAGAATTACCCACTTCCAAATCTCTTGTTCAAAATAATAGAACTTTTTCTAAAATATAATATGATAGGTGAAAGGCAGTGAACAACCTTATTTTTGCTGTAGTAATCCAAAGAAATAAAACTCAAATGAGAGGATAGAATTGTATTAATTGATGTTATAACCTCTTCACTTTATAAAGCGTATCAATGTTAGTAGACTTATCATGAGCAAGAAAATTATCTAATGAAACTAACCATGCATATAAAATATGGTGAGGGACAAAAAATAAAAACTATTGAAAATCTTAAAAGTAATTAAAATTTAATTTTTTGTATGTTTCTTTTATTAATTATAATTATAAGTTAAAAAATATTTATTGACCATGAAATTGATGTTATTATCAAAATATTTAACTTGCTCTATATTTAATTTTATCAGTAGAAATAATATTTCTTAAAAAATTATTTATTTATAAATTTACATTATTAAAATTATATTATTGAATTGAGTCAAACAAAAAATTGAAATAAATCCAATTTCTTTGGATTCTCGATATTCTTGGTTGGTTTTTCCTACTTCAGGTAGAATTAAAATGCGTTGATATAAAAGACTAATGCCCATATTAGATAACATTTTCAGAACGGTGTATTTTGATTAAAAATGTTGAATAACTGGAATGGTTTGTTCGTGTTTATTAAGCTTTCGCACATTTTATATTTTCTAGGGAGGTGTTAAGATTTTTTATTTGGCAAGAAAAGTTACGAAGATTTAGTAAAACATCTTAAGGATTGATATGTTTATACTTATTTAAATATATGACTCACTTTGTTATTAGTGTCATAAGTATAGCTATTTAAATTATATTTGGTGTGGCATGGAGCATTTCTTATAGCATGAGTTCACTAATTTTTTTTTTTAAATTTCAGCCCACCTCAACGTTTTTTTTGCGTGACTTCGCCCGAGGGTAGTACGGTATGTTCGGCAATGCAGCACCCGAGAGCACATCAATTTGGTTACGCATATTCAATTTTTATTCCTACATGAGTTTTTTTATGAGTTGTTAACAAAAGGGTAATTATATTCACAAATATTATTATTTTTTTGTTAATTACAACACATTTTCATTACAATAAACATTTTAAATTTCGCTCATTTTTTCATATATTTCCTCAACTTTTTTAATTACATTCTTATTTTCAATCTTCTATTAATCTTTTATTGTGAGAATGTGTGTTTGAAAATGAATTTGAAAAAAAAAAAAATGATTTTTTGAATAATGAGAATCCAATAGGGGCATAATTGCAAATATGATGATTATATTGCCACTACAATTTTTATTCGATACACAACATTTTAATTTTAATTAAACTCCTCAACCTTTGCTCATTGTTGCAATTATTTTTTTAANATTGCCACCACAATTTTTATTCGATACACAACATTTTAATTTTAATTAAACTCCTCCTCATTGTTGCAATTATTTTTTTAACTTTCTTTCATTAAATTCTTATCTTTAACCTTCCATTAATCAATACGTCTTTTTTTTTTTAATGATAATTTATATTAAAATATTATATTTTCATGTTTTGAAATGAGAGAAATATAAATTTCTTACGCTTCTTATTTTATGTCATTTTAACGAATTTTTGAATATAAAACTTCTATAATATAAAATATGTTAATTAATGAAAAGTTTGAGGATAAAAATGATACGAAAAATGGTTAGGGACATTACTGCTAATGATCAAAGATTAAAAACGTTAAGTGCAATTTTATGGTGCAAAAAGAATGAAAATGGTATAATTACCCTTCCGGATATGAAAGCGAAAACCGTAAATTGAAGTACGAAGTCAGAGAAAGCCCTCACTGACATCTGAAATTTACACATTCTTCCGGGTCAGATCCGCAACGCATAAACCCTATTACAGTTTGAGGTTCAAATCATTTGCCAAATTCCCAAAATTGAATTTTATTATTATTATTTAATTTTCTCTGCCTAGAGTCTTAAGCTTTTTAGTCAAAAGCTGAATTAAGGGAATAAACCCAAGTCTGCTGAAAAATGAGTTCTTTAGCTTCGTTTTGGTAGAAGTAATCGAAGAATTAGCTTACAAAATTCAGAAGTTTTTGAGCAATGGATAAACATGGATTTATTGCCACTATTTTCATTTTATCAATTGTTTCAAGCACCGGTAATGCATCTTTAATATTTAATCTCCGGAGATTAATCACTGGCGCTACAAACGACACTTCCACAATTTTACAGGTAAAAATCTCTTTGCGTCTCTCTCTGTGTAATCTTTCTGAATTTTACAGGTAAAAATCTCTTTGCGTCTCTCTCTGTGTAATCTTTCTGTGTATAAGTTCTTATTTTGAGAAAAAAATAAATCATTGATTGGGAATGAATTGGATCTAGGTTTCGCCCGTTGGAAGTCCTGTCAGTGGTCCTGTAAATGCCGGGAAGTCTGAGAAAGATAAGCACAAGGAATCCGAGGTTAGCAATAAGAGCAATAATTCTTTAACTCTTGATTCGAAGGACTCCAAGAAAAATGACAATGATATTGATAATAATAAAAACAACACGGGTACCACAAGCCAACCAGATGGTGCAAAGAAGGGTAAGTTGGACGATAAAGGGAAGGGGAAGGTGGACAATTCCACGAAAACACAGTTAGGTGGTAATGACACTTGTGAGAGATCACTGAGGAACTGCAGAGGCAAGGGGATGATTGGCTGCATTTTAGCCTCCGAAAATGGTAAGCCTTATTTTGAATTCAGATGATAGTTATTATTCTCTCGATTGAATTACAAGCCAGTACTTTGAGTTAATGCGTTAATTAGAACATTGAAAGAACTAAACTCTGGCTCCTTTTTTTTTTTTTTTAATTTTTTTATTAGCATGGATATTTATTCTTCGTGCCTGGAATATGATTGGAATGAGTACAACTTGAAATATAAAATTATATTGTACTAAAAAGGCAAATTTCAAATGATGCAATTCTTTTGGTGATACTGTTACTTCTTGAAAAGGATAGCTTGAGGCTCGCAATTGCATGACACTAGGTGCTACATCTTACAGAGATCATATATACATTTTGATCGATAATATGGATTCATAGCTTAAGATAAGCTATATATAGAAGTGTACACTTTCAAGTACATGAGAGTGTCAGAATTAGTGCCGACAAAATTTGTGGTGAAGTCCATTATGAAAAATTCAGAACTAATCTCAAGCATAGGCTCAATTGGCCTAGTAGAATACTTTCTTCATTATTCACATACTAACACGAGCATTTGATGCTTTCTTTTATCATTGATGTTTACTTGGATCAAACATTTTGTATATTATTGTCATCTGTCATATTCATCAATTTCCATGTGACGTTTCAGTCTATATTTGAATACTGAGGTACTATGTTATGTTCTAGAGTACTATTCCTTACCTCTGAATCCCTGATCTGACGATGTAATAAATCTTGGATTTGTTGCTGTTATGGCTTATTTACATATAATTGAAATATATCAGAAGCCAACTGAAGCTTTTAAGAAATTATTGCACAACTATAGCTTATTGAAATGTGTTCAACTGCCTCCCAAAATATTTTAGTTGCTGGAGAAATGTGCAATTAAATTATGTGCTGCTTGTGATGTGCAAGCTATACCACCTTTCTTGACTATAAAAAGTGTGCTTAGAACTTTTGAGAAATGTTTGCTAGGACATAACGCGACATTCATTTTACCATTGAGTTTTATATTTCACCATTTTCTGATCAGGAAATGCCACCTTTCCATGTAATATTTAATTTTTTTGGGACAACTTAAAGGACGAGATTGGTTGAGTGAAAATTAGGCTACAGTTATTGGTTACTCAAAACACGAGTAATTTCCGTATTTGATGCGAGCTTATTTTTTTGACTAGTCCAACATATTTATCCTGAGATTGTAAAAGTATTTACATGTCATTTACAATGTCATTTGCATCAATTTTTCTAATTGCTTTCTTTTAAAATGGTACATTTGATTATTGAAAGCTTAAGATCTTTATATGGAACCCTGAGGGGTTGCTCAATTGGTCAGACCTAGGGTTTACACACCAATCGTTACCAGTTCGAGTCCCATCAAGGCCACTGAGGTGAGTACCCGGCCGTAAACTTCAGATCCCCGTGGAATTAGTCAATGTGCGTAAGCTGGTCCAGACATCCACGGTTATAAAAAAAAGATTTTTATATGGTGTTAGCCTTCGACTCCTCGACTTAGGTGACGAATTCTACATTGAGCTATGATAGAGAAATTAGGTTAATCTAGATGTTGGAGATTGACTTGTTAAGCAATTGGAATCTTGAAAAGGCCGGAATTAGTATATCGATAAAGGTTCTAGCTTTCCATTCGGTTGATCAAGGTCACCGTAAACCCTAAATCATGGTATGAAAAAAGGTCAAGAGAGGCGCGCCTCAATCTGAGG